CGCAGAAGGCATTTTAATCTGACCCCTGGGACCAATGATAATGGGGGTCCACACAGAGGCAGGCAAGACTTTTATTAAGTATACAGATGACCGACGAGAGGACACGATCTTCTCAGGGGGTCAGCGTTGACGTCGAAGTACTCGCCTCAATTGTATGGTCGGTCTGTTTAGTGCGTGTGTTTGTAGCATGCACTACTCACTTCTTGGAGGCATACCGTTTACTCCCATAGCTTTTTAGAAAGCAATTTGGTCGACCTAATCGAATGCTGCGGCAAATCAAGCAACTGAACAGTGGTTTTTGTATTCAAAAATATTTGACCTAAGATTCCTTGCAGAGTGAATATCTGATTCATAATGCCTCTGTCAATCACAAGTAATTACAGGGATTGCCAGTATGGCGCTGCGCTGGTTTCGCCTTGTTCTTTAATGTCTTTAATGGAACGGAGACTGTTCAGGAACATGGTCAGTGCTGCCTAGGGCGACACAAATTAAGCTGACACCTTTACTTACAATATGCCATCTTGTCTTTCTGTTAGAAAAACGAAAACGGTACTGCTCCTATTTCAATGAGACGGACTCAGTGGATGGCATTTGGTGCTACGGCATTGGAAACCGCTCATAAATACCAACTTGGGTGCAAGAAATAACCTTGGAGTAATTGACAATAAGTTATCTCCCGCTCAGGGTGCATTGCTAGTAGCCAAATTTCGACCAAAAACGACAGTGCTCGGTCTCGGCCGCTGTAGTAGAAGCAGAGCCAGACGCACCCTGCCACCAGGCACTCACCCACTCAGTGACATGTCCTCGTTTTATTCTTTTCGCGAACCACCAAATTACCTTTCAACATAGGCCGAGGGAACTGACAGGTTTCGTATGGCATCGGCAGCAGGGCTGCTTCCAACTCTAATGTCACGCCTTGCTAGGCGCAACGCGCATAATCTCCTCATGGTGTTAGTCGCAATTAAATCATAAATTTGTGTCTGCTGTGGCCTAACTGAATAAACAAACGCCTCGACAGCGACCCTTCTGAATAGGGCAATTACGTAATTATTTTCCAACAACTTAAAGTGTCTGACGTAAGCAGTTGCGAATCATGGGATCGAAGTTTGTGAGCATCGAGATTTTGAGATGGGGCAACCGTATGGACATTCAGTCTGAACAACACTTATCTAGATTTGCCCACAAATGTGTGATCCATCTGTCTACCTGTCCCCTACCCCCCAATTCATCCGAAAAACCAAATCAGCCGATATCCTTTTGGCTAAAGAAACCTGGTGTTTGTCGCTACAGCCCTGTTACCGACCGCAAATTCGCTCAAATCTGGTAGATTATTGTGTTAGTTTGGGTTACTGGGCGCGTTTCAGTTCCCTGCAAAAGTGTAATGGCGCATGAAGAAATGAACGATAAAACTTCACGAAAACGATCCATCTCTAACCGTTTCGACTCAATTTTAGCATTCGAAAGTAATGTTTTGAGGGATTTTGGTCAGCGTTCCCTGAAAGCCTTACTTTTCGTGAAGTATGCAGACTTTGTTCTCAAAGTCAAATCCTGTGCCACTCGCCCTCCGAAAATGACGTTAAAGTTGTTAACTGGAAATCTAACCTAATGTATGTTAGTGCCGCAAGGTCGGTGTTGAATCACAGCTATTCAGTATTCCCCATGGTCAAAGCGGAAGTCACGCTCATCAGCTCCACTGCCAACTCGTCACACACACACACAGACATATTTTTGGGATATTTTCAAAGCCGAGTTTGGCGTGAATTACTGTCATCATAATTTTGCTCTTATTGGCTGCTACCAACTTCTGCTTCAGTCCAACCGTCGAAGAACAAGAATCCGAGCTCGATGACATTCCTCGAAAGATGCATATAACTGAAGAAGCAATTTCAACACGTTTCTCCACTATGGACATCTCCACGGAAAAACCTTCACCACCGCCATCCGGCTTCCCATCGTCCTTTTTGCCTCTCAATAATGGTCTCAAGGAACCAACTTTGGCGTGTTCACGACCTCAAGAATCCCCCGTAGCCGCACTTGCCTCGACTGAAAACCTCGCATTGACGCAAAGTTGGGACTCTGACGAGGAATCTACTGATGACACAAAGTAAGTTATTTATTCTCTTTGGATTTTAAGCGCCCCTCCAAGTGGTTACGATGTGTCCTTTCTTATCCTAAAACTACCGACTACTTATTAACAACTGTCAGACAGATACTTGATGCTTCGTTTTGGTTTCTAATATTCGCAAATAGCCTGTATATTGACTTACAGATCTGCGTACAAGCGTCTCATGGTAGCACCGTCTTTATTTCTGTAAAAGCAGTATCCTTTGCGAAACGATCCAAATCCACTGGAACGATAATTCTCGAAGGACTATAGTTTAAAAGAGCCGAATATGTTTTATGCTGTTTTGCAGACATAGGTTATGAGTACCTTTTTGTTACAGGGTTTTTTGAACTGCTTTGCCGGTGTGGGTATCTCAACCGGTCCCATATAGAAATCGGTTTACTTTAGCCTTACCTATTCCATATTTCGTTTAAGTTGTTGTCCGCCCATCACCTGGTTTTTGAATTTGCAGTCGCAGGATCCAGCTAGCTATGTGCGGGAAGCTTGCTTTGGTTCGCCTTCACTGTATAGCCTGTCCTCCTTATCAAATGGACATGTAGTTATCTGCGAAGCAGCGGATACTCTAGCCTAGCTCTTGTGTGACTGGGAGCAGATCCATATGCTGGTTTACAGTTAACCTCAGGGGATACACCACGCAAGCATCCATCGACCTATCTTTTTGCCGACTCGCGCCACCATCTTTGTGTTTGCGAGTTTAAGTTCGCGTTCTGTTTCCGAGACATGCGCAGGTATTTGAGATATTGCGTCCATTCTCCAAATCCTCAATTTGCCTGAGTTCAATCTCCCTTTAATCTGGCCTGTCTACTCGCGAAAGCGATTGCTGCTCCAACTTGACCACTTGCCTTTAGACTGTCTTTGACCCACATGGTTCGTTCGCGCACTGCGATTCGTGTCGAGGGGCGATACACTCTTTGACTGCCACATTCCTCGTATGCTGTAGAGGACGTCAACGTTTTGTACGCTCTGAGCGAGTACAGAAACGGTGGTTGCGAAGTTTCAGTTGTAGCTATGAACTGTGGATTTGTCACCTAAATACCGGCATTTCGGCGTTCGTCTAGCCCGTCGTTTGGCCCTCTGAGAGACACAGTTCCACTTTTTTGTCCTCGGGTACTTGTACTTGTTACGGCTGTGATCATGCCTGATCTAGCCGGCCTCAAT